ATCTGGGTTTGGTGATGACATGATTATTGGTGTTCTTGACACCGGCATTTGGCCCGAAAATGAGAGCTTCAACGATGACGGGATGCCCCCGGTGCCGGCTCGTTGGCACGGGATATGTGAAACCGGTACAGAATTCAACCCTTCTCATTGCAATAGAAAGTTGATTGGGGCTAGGTCCTTCAGTAAAGGAATGAAGCAGCAAGGCTTGAATATATCCAAAACAGATGATTATGATTCTCCAAGGGACTACATGGGCCATGGATCTCACACATCGTCGACTGCTGCTGGCAACCAGGTGCAGTATATTGATTATTTTGGATATGCCGGAGGAACATCCATCGGTATTGCACCGCGGGCTAGACTTGCTATGTACAAAGTGTTGTTCTTCAATAACAGCTATGATGCTGCTGCAACTGATGTACTAGCAGGCATGGATCAAGCTATAGAAGATGGTGTTGATGTCATGTCACTGTCTCTAAGCTTCTACGAGACACCTTTTGACGGTAACCCAATAGCCGGAGGAGCCTTTGCTGCACTAAAGAAAGGGATATTTGTTGCATGCTCAGCTGGAAATGCAGGGCCTCATGCATATACCATTCATAATGGAGCTCCCTGGATCACCACTGTTGGTGCTGGAACCATTGACAGAGATTTTGCAGCACAAGTAACATTTGGAGATGGAGCTTTATCAATTTTTGGAAGATCTGCTTACCCAGAAAACTTACTAGTTTCTAGGGTTCCTATTTACTATGGACATGGAAATAGAACAAAAGAAATCTGCAACTATTACTCGTTAGACCCCGAAGAAGTTGCAGGCAAGTACATATTCTGTGACTTGGACTTGGATACGGGGATAACAATGTACCAGCAATTGGGTGAAATGGATAGAGTTGGAGCTGCTGGAGCAATTTTTAGTTCAGACATTGGCCAATTTGTTCAACCACAAGAATATTTCAAGCCATTTGTGTCTGTGATACCAAAAGATGGAGATTTGATCAAGAATTTTATAACCAAATCAAGGAATGCAACAGTGAGCATAAAGTTTCTAATAACACAGTTGGGCATCACACCAGCTCCACAGGTAGCCTACTTCTCATCAAGAGGGCCTGATAGGAAATCACCATGGATTCTCAAGCCTGATATTTTGGCACCTGGGGTTAATATCTTGGCAGCTTGGGCACCCAACAGAGGCTTTGCTTCAATACGAGATGATCTTCTGCTCACAGATTATGCTATTGTCTCAGGCACCTCCATGTCTTGTCCTCACATAGCCGGCACAGCCACATTGCTTAAAGCTGCTCATCCTGACTGGAGTTCAGCTGCTATCCGATCAGCAATGATGACAACTGCATATGTAACTGATAACAAAAATGGTCAGATCATTGATATGAACAGTGGCGTTGCTGCTACTCCTCTTGATTTTGGAGCAGGGCATGTAAATCCTAACAAAGCCCTAGATCCTGGTCTTGTCTATGACATTCAGGTTGAGGATTATATCAACTATCTCTGTGGGCTCAACTATACAACATCGCAGATTAAGATCATTACAGGAACTTCGAAGTTTACTTGCGATCAAGCTAGTATTGATCTTAACTATCCCAGCTTTATCCTCCTCCTAAATAATACAAACACTACCACCTTCACTTTCAAGAGGGTTTTGACAAATGTAGCGGAGAGTAGCTCAGCCTATCATGCTGTAGTCAATGCTCCTGCCAGTATGACAGTGATTGCACATCCATCCACAATTTCCTTTGCTGGAAAATACAGTAAAGCTGAGTTCAGTCTGACTGTGAGCATTAATTTGGGGCATGCCACTCTTCCACAGAGTGATTATATTGGGAATTATGGGTTCTTGAGCTGGTATGAGATCGGTGGAGAACATGTGGTAAAAAGTCCCATAGTCTCTGCTTTTGCACCTTAATTACCCATCAGAAGTAATTGGTGCAGAATCTTATGTAGCCCATATAAAAGTACAAATGCTTTGCAATTCACAATGAATACGAAATCTTTTCATTCTCACAGCGGATATATCTAGTTGGCTAATTGTTTTGAAGCTTATGGAAACCTAAAAAACCATGTGCAGGTGTTTGTTCAGACGGTCAGAAAACACGAATCAAACTAACATAAGAGCTAAATCTTCCAACCCCACATATATATATATATACATGCACGTGCACTTGTGTATGAAATCCATCCACCAAAGATGTCAAATGGAAGCATTCACATGCAAAAGCAAAGCTTTAATGGCTCCAAACCTAAAGATTTCAAAAATGAAGAGGCAAAACATTTATAGACAACCACTGGCAAATTAGCTTTTCATCCAATGGCCTAAAGAAGACAAGTTAGTTTGTATACAATTAAATTGCACTTTGCTTGATTCTTACATGGACAATTTCAGATTAAACCTTCTCATCCATGGAGGATACATGTGGGGAAGCATAAAAATGTCCTTATATCCTCTGCTATCACCATCTATGAGAACTTAAGAAAAAAAGATCGAAAAGTAACAAAGAAAGAGTGAGAAGTTATATGCATACCTCGACTCTGTAATCTATGTGTGTCCCAAACAAACACTGAAATGTTACATAAAAGGGAAATTTCTGTATTCTACTAGCCTCCAGCTGCTGCCAGGAATTTTCTACCACTACCTGGTTCTACATGTAGGACAGCAACATCTCTCACCTTGTGTAACAGCTCCTCCAGCTGATTTACACCGAATTTTTTATAGTCTAGCGCTTTCTTGTACCTTTGCTGGTATATAGCCTCAAAACAACCCAAGAAAATCCGACAAGAGTAGCTCACTAGAATCTCTTGCAGCTCATACTTGAACTGATCTATATTACACATGTAAATCTCACATTGAGCTGTTTTCTCTGCAGTACTCTTCCCGTGGTTTCTCCTCTCATTATGTTCTTCAACCACAACTCTCTCCTCATCTGAAAACTCATCTGAAGAACCCCCAGCTGGAGCTATATCAATAGTCTCTTCTTGAGTCCCTTTCCCTTTCTTATCCCTCCTCATCAGAACCAATGGAGGTGCACTTGGGCTTGATTTCCAGTTCCTAAGGTAAACAAATTTTCTTTGGCCCTTTCCATCTATTGCCATCGTGTCACCCATCTTCTTGAAAAGGTTCACAAGCTTACATGCCCCATACTCTGACATATAAAGAGGCCTCCCATAGAGCTTCTGGTAATCAGCAGGAACACGCGTAAGAGGCAGGCATCCTCCTGAGAGCTCAAGCAACTTAACAAGCTGCAACTTCAGGCCATTAATATCTCCAGGCTGTACCCACATAGAGTAATCAATTTGATCACTTGAATAACCCGGGCAGGCTGATACTTCATTGAAGCCAGATGGAAGACTATGTGACCTCAAATTTGCAGGAAAACAAGGCATGGCACTCGCGTACTCGGATAAAGATTGCGACATACTAGAGAAGTCTCTCGAGTTGTAATAGTTTTGTGACAGTCCCCTATAAACAATAGCTTCCTCTTCATTTTGACCATCTGAGCGATCACTGATATGGCAGCCCATGACATACCCAGCAATGTCACATGGTCCTCCACGAGGTATTGAAGCCTTTGCTGCAGGTACAAAGCCTTCCCCACGAGCCACACTTGGCCAATCCCACACAAATTTACCAGCATTGCAAAGGGCAGATGAAACACCCACCCCAGAAGGAATAACAAGAATTACTACATACCCCCGTTGACCAAGTATGTGAAGTGCTGGAGCGAAATCAACATCACCTGAAATAAGCATGATAGAAGAAGGTGGAGGATTGTCAAGGGCAAACAGAAACATGTCAATCAGGATAGCCTTGTCTGCAGCATCCTTTCTGGTATTTGGGACATCAATAAGCTTGACACCAGTTCTTTGGCAGCCCTCTCTGAGTCGGCGGGGAAACGCATTAAAATCCCCATAAGCAGAAAATGTCGTAACAGCTCCTTTTATTACAGGGTGCAACCGCAAAGCCATTCTTATATTACCAGCAACATCTTCCGGGCGGACATCACTAGGGACAGGACAATTCTCAATGTCCCAAAGGATGGCCACGGGACCTTCTAAGGAGGCACAATTTTGCCGGTTTAAAGGTGTTTGAACAGCATTGATGTTTGATTCTGACTCATGTGTTTCCCTTTGTTCTGAAGAATCCATTAGAAACTACTGATGCTGATAAATTTGAACAAGCTATCTCCTTAATTGCACAAGTCAACAGCTCCTGCAGATGATCAAGATGACGAAGAGACTACTGAGAGAAAGAAAATATTACATGCAAAGTACTTCAATAACCAAATGAATGAAATCATGTCATGACCACCCTCCCTATTGAGAAAATAATTTCATTTCTCCTTTATACGCAGAGTATCTAAAAAATTAATGCATATATTAAATAGAAAAAAATCTTTTCAATGGAA